GGGCGGCGCACGCTGTGGGAAGGTGCGTTGGCCGGGGACGAGCCGACGGCAGATTTGTTGCTGAGCCGAGAAGCTCTGTCTCCGCGGGGCGCTGGAGTCTGGCCCCGGGCGCACCCGCGGCCACGGGCCCCGAGTGGGTCAGGCTGCCCCAGCCTCCCGGCGGCCAGTGGCTGGGCACGTTGGGAATTGGGGTCCTGGGCTCGTGTTTTTCCAGGCTCCTAGAAGTCTCCACAGACAGAGTTGAGCTGAACAGGCAAGATCTGAGTGGTGGGGGCACCACTCAGTGCCAGCGAGTATGTCGGGCCAGTGGGGAGTGGCACGCCACCCCCGCGGCAAGTCTCGCTCAGCTCCGTGCCTCTTCTCCCACCTCCCGGCTCTTCCTCCCCCATCTCTCTCCGCTGCTGCCTCGGCCCCTCCTCACAGGCCAAGGTGGTGGGCGCGGGAGCCGGCCGGAGCGGCTCCGCGGGACGGAGGGCTGGCCTCAGTCTGAGCAAGGTCAGGCTCGCCCAAACGGAGGCCCTCCCGCAGAGACCCGCCAGAGGCACCGGCAGCGGCCGCTGGCCAGAGCCGTGGGGGGGTAAGAGGAGACGAAGGGGCCGTGAGCACGGACGCGGCAGGATGCCCGTGGGGCCGGCCCGGGGCTCAGCCGCCGGGAAGGCCCCCGAGACTGGGCCGCGGCACGTGGACGCCAGGCCGCCTGTGGGCTCGTGCTCCGAGCAGGCCTCAGGAGGTGCCTGCCGAGGCCTCGGGGCGCAGGGGCTTGGCCCTCGGCTTACTCCAAACAGGCCACACCAGCAGAGGGGCGAGTAGCGAGGGCGTGTGTGAGCAGGGCGCGTGGCCGGCGGCCGGATCTCGGTGAAGCGGCATCGCTGTCGTCGACTTATCCTGTCAGCTTTTCTATTGGTTTGAAAGGTCTCAGCGGACGTTAAGCAAAAACAGCGGCACGGAGGAGCCCTTTCGGACCTCCCCGGGCTCCGCGTGGTCTGGGTTTGGCGCGAGGCTCGTGCGGTCCATGGCACCGGCTCACCCGCGGCTGTCGGCGTTTGCGTGGGCGCCCTCCCCCCTGGACATACACGGCGGCGTCTGGCCTCTGCTCACGCCCCGTGCACTTGCGCTGTCTGTGGTGTGGGAGGCGGGGAGGAAGGAGGCAGCACGCCACGGTGAGGCCTGAGGGCCTGGCCCGGGCGGAAGGCGGCTCAGGCCCCCGGGCAGCGTGGGTCCAGGCGGACCCTGCCCGTCGGGCTCCTCCCGCTCCCTGCCCCGGAGGCTGAGGGGCTCGTTTTCGAGGCGCGTGAGAGGCACTGGTAGGGCGACTGCGGAGCACGAGTCCTCTGCTCGGCGGGCACAGGAGTCCTCATGAGGCTTCGCAGGAGACCTGCTGGTTGGGGCCGGGGCCGGGCCTCCCTCTGGGTGGCAGCGCCCGGGTCAGGCTGCGCCACCTGCTCCTGCCGGGGACGTGCCTTCCCGGGCTGTCGCCGGCTTCCTGGCCGGCGGGTGCCACTTCCTCCCCAGGCTGCGTGGGCATCCATTTGCCATCGCGTCCTGCTAGTCTGTCCTTGTCTGGGCGCCTGTCCAGCTGCAAACCGGAACTAGGTCTGAGCTGCGGTGGTCCTTCTTGGTGCCTGCTGCCGCCCTCGGGCTGCGGCACAGCTCTTCTCCCTCAGAGGCCCTTCCCCAGATCCCAGCGGGCTGTTGCAAAGCCAAGTGTGGCTTGAATGCCCGGCCCCCGGGCTGCAGGGGTGCAAGGAGGAAGGGAAGGCTCTGTTAGATTTTCAGTGGAAAGTGGCACCCTGAAATGCACTTAGACCCCACAGGCATGCGGCCATAGCCGCACGCACATACGGATGGCCGGCACTTCCGAAGGTCCCCGTGGCACCCTCGCAGGCCCTGCCCATAGCCCCTGTCCAGCCGGCCTCCGGCCGCCACGTGGTGCCTGCCCACAGTCCCCGGGAGCAGCCCGGGGTCAGCGTCTCTCAGCTCCGCCTCTTTGGGGTTCAGCTGTGGTTCCAGTGGCCAGTGCGCAGCCCGGCGACCTCTGCGCAGTGGACAGACGCTCACCTCTTGAAGTTCAGAGAGTCTCTCTGCTCCTCTTCCGGGTCCTGAGGTTGCGTGAGGCCGTGAGGTGACAGGCATTCCTGCTGCCGCGCCCCTCTTCACGGGCACCGCCGAGCGGGTCAGAACTGACCCAGGGGTGTGGCTGGCAGGCGCGGCACGTGAGGTACCCGTGGCTAGACTGCTGCCCGGGGCTAATCCCCATCTTGGTGCAGAAAGGCGGCTTTGATGCATGATGGCGCTGGGCCCCACCACGCCCGGCGCAGGCGGCTCCTCTTAGGTGGGGTCCATTCGCGGCCCGCGCCTGGCACCGGCCCATCTGGCAGCTGGATGGTGAGCCTGTGGGCCCGTGGGAGGGTTTTCTTTCGGACAGTAGTCAGCTTTCGTGGCAGGCTCGCCGCCACCCTGCTGGCTGTCTCTGGGGAGCCCTGAGGGGCCTGGGTGTTCACCTCCACGCGGATCTGGCCTTCTGTCGGCGTGGCCGTTTCCGGCCTGGTGCCCTTTCTCTTTGGCTTTCCTCTCGCACCTTCTCAGCGGCGCGCGTGACTGAATGCGATGCGGTGGCTGCTCGGCCAGTCTCGGGTGGCCGCGTCTGCACGGTGGTCTGCTGGGGGGACGGGGCGAGACGCAGCTCCTGGGGCGTTTTGCAGTGGGCTCTGCCACCCAGACTGTCTGCTGTCCCCCCCCCCGCCCCCCCAGAAGGCGCAGTCTGTCCAGCACGAAGTCACTGAGTCCCCAGCTGTCTGGAGAGCAGGAGGACGCCGACCTGGCCTCCACCCTTGGGATGTGCAACAGGGAGATCGTGCGGCGGGGGGCGCTCATTCTCTTCTGTGACTACGTGGTGAGTTGGTCGGGTGGGAGCACGGGCTCTCCGGACGCCCCCAGCCCTGCCTGCCCGCTACCCTGGCAGGAGACCAAGGCCACATGCCAAGCTGACCTGGCAGTGGTTGGAGGCCAGCGCTGGCCTCTGGCCTCAGCTGCCCGTGAGCGGCTTTGTCGCCGCCACGCTGGGGGGCTTGGGGGTGGTGGCCTGCGCCGTCGTCACACCTGCAGGATGGGTTGGGTCCCAGCCAGCCGGTGCGGCCGGGAGCAGACTGTGATATGAAGGACTTTGGGGGGCTCCCTGGTGGCGCAGGGCTGACAGCGCAGCACTCTGAGGCCGTCCCGGCCGCTACAGCACGATTTGAACCCCAGCCGGGGAGGGCGCAGCAGACTACCCCGCTGCCCCTCTGCTCCCCACTCTGTCTTTGGTGAACCCTCTCACCCCCCACAACTCTGGCTGTACCCAGTTCTTGTATGCATGAATAAACAAATCTTAAAAAAAAAAAAAAGAACTTAACCTGGGGAGAAGGGCTAGCTGCATTTGAAATGGGCCCCTGGTGGCACGCCATCTTTTTAACAAGTTACCATTGCAGCGTTTTTACCCATAAAATGGCATCACGTGTTAGTTGTAGAAGCAGCTCATTCTACGAGTCATACTGTGAAGCAGTCCGTAGGAACATGCTCGTCACGAGCCAGCCGTCTCCAAACTGATCCGCTCGGCGGCTTCTGCCCAGCAGTGCGCCTTGGCGGAGGGCGGCTGAGCTTTAAGCCGGGCTTCCTGCTGCCTCGTAAGCCTGGAAGTGCCCGTGCTTCGGTCATTTAGCGTGTGGCATCCGTTCGTGTTTGGATCTGGGGTTCTGTCCAATCTGACAGGTACCGGGGTGTTCCTTCCCCTGGTGTGCCACAACATTGGAGCGTGCTGGAGAGCGCGGGGCCTGGGAGGCCGCCCTGGCCATGCCCGTGGCCCGGGCTGCGTCCCGTTGCCTTGTGGGGACCGACGCCCACCCGCGAGCGTGCGTCCCGGCTGCTCAGCGGCGCCGGGCCTGCTTCCCCGGCCCGCCCTCCTGCGCGGCCACCGGCGGCCCCTCCGTCCACTGGAGGGTGAGTCTGTGCCTCCCTCCCCAGTGCCAGAACCTGCACGATTCCGAGCACTTGACGTGGCTCATCGTGAACCACATCCAAGACCTGATCAGCCTGTCCCCCGAGCCGCCGGTGCAGGACTTCATCAGCGCCGTGCACCGCAACCCCGCCGCCAGCGGCCTCTTCATCCAGGCCATTCAGTCTCGCTGCGAGAACCTCTCGGCTGTAAGTCTCCCTCTGCGGTTTCTGCCAGTCCCTCTGCTCGGGCTGGAGACCTTGAATCTTCAGGCTGCTGGCCTGCATTGGCTCAGCGCCCTGCTCTGTCCCTCCCCTCCTCGTGCCAGCCCACCATCCTGAAGAAGACCCTGCAGTGCCTGGAAGGCATCCACCTCAGCCAGTCAGGGGCCGTGCTGACGCTCTACGTGGACAAGCTGTTGTGCACCCCCTTCCGAGTGTTGGCCCGCATGGTGGACACCCTGGCCTGCCGCCGGGTAGAGATGCTTCTGGCTGCAAATCTGCAGGTACTGAACATACTCCGGTGCCGGTTCCGACAGCCGAGCAGGGCTGGCCCAGCGGGGCTTCCCCACGCCGCCCTCCCGTGTGCCCGCGGCCCCGCCGTCCCCGCAGTGCCGGCTGCTCATCGCCTCCCGCCTCGCTGAGCGCAGGCTCGGCCCGCCTGGTCCCCACGGTCCCTGATGCCCCCTTTGCCTCCAGAGCAGCACGGCGCAGCTGCCGCTGGAAGAGCTGAACCGGATCCAGGAGCACCTGCAGAGCAGCGGGCTTGCCCAGAGGTGCGTGTGGGCCGCTCCCTGGGGGCCGTGGGTGGCCGCCTGCCCTGCGGGCAGGTGGCTTGGGCGGGCCTGGCCGCTGGCGCAGGGAGGCTGGCTCTTAGGTGAAACTGCTGGCTCGTGGTGTAAGGTGCCGGGCGCACTGCACGCTGGCCGTGCTGGGGCGGGGCGGGGTGCCGGGGCGCTGGCCCGCGCAGGAGGCTCCGTTCCTTCCCTGTGACGCGTGCACAGGAATCAGCTTTGTCTCGGCGGGGTTCGGGGCCTGCACCCAGGTGCTGAGAGGGGTGGGCGAGCCGGGAACGTGCCCCCCGGGTCTCGGCCCGCGCCTCTCCCGCCCCGCCGCCGTTGGCGCTCTCCTAGCTAGTGAGCACCTGCTCTGTGTCAGAGCCCGGCCGCCGCCGGCAGCAACGGGACAGTGAGTGCAGCCCCGCTGCAGAGTCAGAACGGGCTCCGTGTCCCCTGGCGGGCCGGCACGGCGGGCTGGGCTGGTGCCCTC